TGTCACAGCCAAAAAATACACTCCAGACACGCCGCTGGCACTAGAGGCACAGCATATATATATATATATATATATATATATCGTCAACAGAACTGCCCGGTAAGGGAGAAGAGGACAACAAACGAGGGGCTGTGACAAACTGTTTCGTCGGAGTTTCACCGATTCATCAGGAGGCTGAACCCCTCAGTATATATAGCACCTTACGTTGAAAAAGCATTAGCCCCCTGGGGATGGACTTGCAGCCTTGAACTGGACTCCACATATCTTGTCATTGGGCCTTGCTCCACTACTCTGGACTCGATTTTACGAGAGTCCACCTTGCTCCACTTACTCTCGAAAGGGACTCTCGAGAAGTCCTTTCGGGAGCTGTCAGACATCACCATCAAAAACCACTCCCAACTGTCGAGGGCTCCCCCACATGCAACTTATTTTCGAGGGTCCTCGGCCGTGCTCTCCAAACGGGCTCGTTTTTCTAGAGTCCACCTCCTGTCGGGGTGGACAAGCCAAAAGTTCAGCTGCCGGGTACCTCAGGATTAAGTGAAGCGAAGGCGGGATTTTCGAAGTTTTCGAGAGTCTGACAGCTCTCGAAGGAAAGCCGACCGAGATCGAGGGCATCGCCGCACCGCTCACGGAATGTGAAAAAGACAAAACCTACGGCAGGAGTATCTTTCCATACTTCTGCAGAAGGGACGAGCTCCATTTTGCTCATTCCAGGTGTACTGCTGCAAGGCCCCCATTCCGCTGGAATAGGCTGTCTAGCGGTTCAAATATGGACCGGGCTGTCCAGCCGTTTGAATGTGGACCGGGCCAGGCCGTCCAGCCGTTCAAAAAAGTTTTAAACGGCTGGAAAGCCCTTTCAGAATGACCGCGTGCAAGAAATTTGAAATTTCCGCTCAAGTACATTTTCCGAAAGGTTTGTTCGCCAGACACTTTTAAACATCCGCTGTCCTCCACGTCATCCATTAGAAGTTTTGGAACGCTAGCTTTAAAAAAAAAAAAAAAAAAAAAAAAAAAAAAGAGGCCTTATGGAACTCTAGTTACTATACAGAAAAAAAGAGGATCAGTGTGGCCCTGAGCAAGGATGGGAGCCAGGTCAGAAAAAAAAACATGAACTCGTTATTTAAAGGAGAAAAAAAGAGGGAGAAAAAAACAGAGATATTGCAACCACACAATGCCAAACAGAATATGAACTATAGTCACTATACAGAAAAACGAAGACCGATGCAACACAGAATTCAAACTATATTTACCATACAGAAAAAGGCGAAGATCGAGGTGGCCCTATGGTGGGTGGGAAGAAGTACCGGTGGTAGGGGTCACGTGCTGATTGCGGAGAGCGAAGTGCGCAGGAGTTGCTGTGCCTGTGTGGTGTTGTGTGTGGTGTGTGTTGAGTTGGACACTACACCCTTGCAGGGGTGGGGTGGATATCATGACCGGTAGGTAGTTGGTTCCAGTTTTGAACACTGTGCCCTGGCTGTAGTGGTTAAAGACTCTTAAGAGACTTGGCTCTTGAGGGCCGAGGTCGCCGGTTCGAATCCCCGTGCATGCACTAGGAGGGCTTAGACTCAGATGAACGGATCCATTGCTATTGTGGAAGCGCCCGTTAACCAATCCTACAATTGCTACTATGCAAGGATGACATCGACAAGCACACAATGCATTACATCACACTGATTCTGTATGGAAAGGACCTCTGCATAATTCAGGGCGTGCTCATGCTAGCACTATCTTAAATGTACCTGACCGCATTTACGGCCGACCTGTACGCATCTGGCCGCAATTCCGTCGAGGAACAAGTGAAAAAGTGCTAGAGCGAGTGTGCCCTCGCTTCGCATATTCTGTACGGAAAACCACCCACTGACCACATATTTGATATTTCTTGTCGGAGGCTCCTCCACGCTTTGTGTAATCAGCAAAAGCAGAAACCAGACAAGTTACCCAGCTCCTAAAATGGTCATGAGTTCGAATCCTCCATAAAAATGACGTTAGCGGTTATATCCATTTTGAAAACGGAAAAAAAAAAAAACGAAGAAGAAAGCACCCCATGTTCGCCCTGAAAGTCACGTCTCCAATGACTGAATATCACGGGAACCCACTCTGCAACTTCCGCAAAGTAACGCCAAAACCAGAGAATAGTCAAAGCCAATGCCAATGTGGGTTGATCACCAACAGCAAAGTGGGCACCCTCCCAACCACAGAAAGAATTTGCTTCCGTGCAGGGTGGCAGAGACATTGAAGCCAAATAGGCTAGGTGACATGGGATGCCCAGCTCGGCACCCACTCAGCTTCGAAGACAAGGGAATTCCAGAGAAGTACCACAACAGCAGCAGTGGTTAAGCAATACCACCAGCCTTTCATTAAGATTGGAATGATACAAAGAAAGAAGATTAGCATGGCCACTGCGCAAGGGTGACACGCACAAATCGAGAATTGGTTTTGGGGGCGCTAAAAGAAAAAAAGGACGGCTGGGATTCATCAACGATACAGTTCATGACAGACATGAATGTCTTCGAGAGGCTAGAGTTTTCGTCTGGCCCAAATTTGACACTTCATTACAAAACACTGACACATGATAGGTACACTACTCAGCCTGCATCTCACTTGATCGCATTGGGCTTGCAATCGCTGAATCGCCTCCAAAAGGTCTTTATTCATTCCCAGAGAAGCACTCTCTCTCTCTAGTGTTCTCCTTTCAAACTGCATCAACCAGCAACATATTACAAATAACTCACCAAATGTCAATCCTCAGAGACATAGCTCTCTCTCTCTCTCTCTCTCTCTCTCTCTCTCTCTCTCTCACACACACACACACACACACACACACACACACACACACACACACACACACACACACACACACACAGAGTATGGC